CTCGGCCTGATAAAACCCTTGTCTAGTAGCTCCTGTAACTGAGTAGACAACTCCTGCATCTCAGGAGGAGCCAACCGATATGGTGCCTTAGCTATCGGAGCCGCACCAGGGACCAGGTCAATCCGGAACTCAACCTGTCTCTCCGGAGGTATCCCAGGCAAATCCTCTGGGAATACGTCCGGGTACTCTCGCACTACTGGTACATCATCGACTGTCGCCTTACCCTTATCCCAGGTATCCATGACATAGGCGACATATCCTGCACAACCCTGCTGAAAGTAGCGCCTCGCTCTCGCCGCTGAACAAAGAATCGGTCCGCGCTGTCGCCTCTCCCCCTGAATCACTAACTCTCCCCCACTAGGAGTGCAAACCCTTACTAGCTGCATCTCACAATCAATCACTGCCCCGTTGGGGCTCAACCAATCCATACCCACGATGACCTTATTCCCTCGCAGGGGAATAGGAACCAAATCCACTGAGAACTGCTCATCAAATAATCGTAGTGTACATCCTCTATGAACTCTCGCGACCCTGACAGTCCTGTCATCAGCTATCTCAACGTCGAGTGGGCAATCCAGCTCCCCCGGAGCTCTACTAAATCGCTTGCTAATAGCAAGCGACACAAATGATCGGGTAGCTCCCGAATCAAATAGTACTAAGGCTGATATACCGTTCACTAGGAATGATCCTATAACAAAACAAGCAAACATGAGAAATAAACAATATCAAATATAGAGATAAGAGAAAGATACATACCCGTCACCACGTCAAGAGCTGCTCGTGCCTCCTCTGTAGTAAGCTGAAAAGCCCTGCTCCGCGCCGTAGGCGCCTCAGCCCGGCCCTGACGGCCATCTGTAATCCTCAATGTGGCAGGAGGAGGTGCTACCACCTTCCCTGCTGTTGCTAAACTCGGGCACTGGGACCGCTTGTGTCCCCTCTGATTGCACTGAAAGCAAATTAGGTCTGCTGCTGTCGTGGTGGTGGTAGTGGTTGTGCAATCTCGGCTTATATGACCAATTCGGCCGCACTTGTAGCAGCCTGAACTCCCCGCCTTGCACATCCCCTCGTGCATCCTGCTGCATTTGCCACAACGATCGTGGCTCTGCTGGCTCCGAGATCTGTGATCTGATACCTTGGGCTTCTTGCCCGAACCTCCTGACTGAACCCCCTCTGGTTTCCTCTTCCTTTCCATCTCCAAATCCAACTCCCTCTCCCGAGCCCTATCAATCATGTCCTCCAGCCTAACTTTGTCCCCCTCGGGACATCTGCTGGTGCGGAATGCGTTGGCGAGATCCGCCAACCACCTGGTACTAGCAATGGGGTCCCGAGCCCCATGGTAATCGGGAGCTCCACATGATCTGAACTCCCTGAAGGTGAGCATGCACGACCCCATCATGGCCGCTACCTCAGTGCGGAACGCACTCAATCTCTCATCCATAAGCTCCATAATACCCTCCTTGATCGAACCGAAGATCACCGGGGTCTGCTCAAGTATAATGCGAGTGATATATGAGGAGAGAAACTCCCTGGTCTGCTCATCTAGATGCTCGGCTCCAGAGCCTGACCCCGATCCCTCTCTGGCACCTTAACTGCCAACTGCTGGTCTAGGGCGTAAAACCACTATTCTGAAAACACATCATAACAAACGTCAGAATACTAACATAACTTGAGGGATCACATACACTACAAGTTCCCTGGTCTTATCTCAGCCTTCCTTGATTCGAGTACGGATCCTCTGCTTTCAGTAGTACGGGCCCATACTACCTTCAACATCTATCCGTACTTTCCTCAAGAACTACCTTGACTCCACCAAGTCCCTTCTACTGCTACTACTCTTTGCCACTCTCATCCTAGGCCTGCCCTAGGGTAATCACCAACCCACTCTCTACCATCAGCTGCATAAGAAGTCCCTGCTTTCTTCCCCTAACTAGCTCGCGAATACTATTACATGTTACTCAGACTTGATAATTCTTCGAATGAGGGATCCTACCCTACAACGGTTGGACTCAAACAAGAGCTGTGAAATAGAGCTAGACCTAACCTTCTGAAATTATTTAGTCCTTGCAATATGTAAATTAACATATTCGTTTACTAGTTAGTGGAAGACAACTAGAACTCCTAAAAGCACAAAGCAAGCAACATTCGGGCATTGAGTACACATAATACGACATATACTACTCTGGCTATCATACTGACTAATTTGTACTAGCATGCAGTTCTCATAAAGTTGAACACATATAACAGACACATAAGGCATCCTTCCTAGATCCTTAGTCCTAATATAGCATGTTGTTCTAATAAAGTTGGTAATCATAACATAACACAAACTTGTATGGGTAATTTGGGAGTACTTACTTGAGCTCGGCTGATTGCATGCACCACACCCTTTTCTCTTTTCAAAGTTCTTTTCTATTTTAAAAATCCTTTTTGTAAAAATGATTTTACTTTTGAAGATTTCATATCACTTCCTTAGTTTGAGTTCAGATACACCCGAAAGTGTGCCTGAATCCCTCAAACCAAGGCTCTGATACCAACATGAAACATCCCTAAAATTTGACCCAAAAATTTCGTTTTCAAACATTATTAAAATCATAAACCATCCAAAGTTATAAGTAAAATCATAAGTCAAGTACATTAAAACATCATAGTGTCTGTCTCAAATCAAATCTCATAATAAAACATCAGAGTAACTCCCAGGCTGTGACTGTGGTGTGTGCCATGCGATCATCCCGAGCTCTCCCCTTGCTACCGGAAGTACCTGAAACCAAAACTGAAACTGTAAGCACGAAGCTTAGTTAGCTCCCCCAAACTACCGCATACCATACCAAAACTGAAACTCCCAGCATCGGACTCCTGCCCGACATCGGGCTCACCCCGACATCCGACCGCATCGGGCATCGGGCTTACCCCGGCACATACACAACATAACATATATCATAAACACATAGCATAATCACATGATCTACATCGGGCTTGCCCCGACATCGAACCGAAGCCCGGAACATATGACATATAAACTAGCATACATCGGGCTTGCCCCGGAACACATAATGCATGGCATAATAACTAACATACATCGGGCTTGCCTCGTCATCGGACCAAAGCCCAAAACACATAGCACATATCATATAACATGCATGAATCACCAAGACATCACACATACTTACCTACTTCTCGGGACCGCCTCGGCATCGGACCGAAGTCCGGAAACATATAAACTGCATCGGGTTAACCCCCACATCGGATTGAAATCCGGAACTACTATTATCTAAACGGGTCGGCATTGTGGCCGTAAACCCGTTCCTACTAGAGGAAAAACTCACCTCTCAAACTGACCGCTGAATAACTCATGCAAAGGTGAGTTACCTTCCAGTAGGGGTGGGTCTAAGGCCACAATGCCGGCCCACCATCAGGGGTATTTGGTGGATAATTGTCTTTGTGATAATTATCTTGGTGTGTTTATGTGATATGGTCATGAGACATGCTTGTATGATATGGAATGTGTATGTTAGTAGTAATAGTAGGGAATAGTTTTTCCCTGACACCGGTCGTTAGGATCGAAGGGTAGGTCAGTACCCAGATAGGCCTGACTGTATGTTTATATCTTCATATTGTATGATAGCAGTAGGGGTGAAATAGTTCCCGGTTACCGGTTGAAAGATACTGATGACAGGTACCGGTTGAAAGATATCGATGGCGATTATCGGTTGAAAGATACCGATGGCAGATACCGGTTGAAAGATACCGATGGCAGTTATCGGTTGAAAGATACCGATGATATGATATTGTATGTGGTATGATGGGGGAACTCACTAAGCTTCATGCTTACAATTTTAGTTTTGGTTTCAGGTACCTCTTCGTCTAAGGGGAAGGAGCCGGCGGTTTAGCAGCGCATCACACACACATGGTTTCCGCATTGAGTTTCTGGGATTGTACTCTGATTTTCATTACTTTTGATGTCATGGTTTGGGATACAACATTGTGGTTTTTATAACTTGATGTAATGTTTTGGTAAAATGTTTTACAAAATATTAAATCAAAAAAGAAATTTTTGGCCTCGAAATTTGGGATGTTACATATAGCAACATCAGTAGATGAAGATGATGACATTGGCACAGAACCATCAAGATAACCAAATAAGTCTTGAGAGGTGAGAAGGGTCTCCACCTGATTGCGCCATAAGAGATAATTGGCAGAAGTGAGCTTAATGGTGATCATATGAATGAGTGTGGCATAGGGAAGACAAGAATCTGATTCAACCATGGTGAATGAATGTGCTAAGAAACGTGGCAGAAGGGCAAAAAAAAATCGGCAAAGAAGGAACACGTATTAGGGTTGGAGACTTTTTTTTTTGAGAAAGATACGTGAGGGGAATTAATCTTCTGATACCATGTGATAATTGAAGAAAATCACCCTTAATTTAGGTGATTGAAGAATTCCATATAAATAGAGAAATAATTAGGGTACAACATATACATGGGCCTACAGAAAATACACATGGGCTAAACTAAAATACAAATAAAATTAAAAGACTATGGGCTAACAATCCAAACTGCTGTTCTCATAGACATTAATATATGCACGAGTTAGAAGCAAATACTCCTTAGCGGTCCATGGCTTTGAACCCATTGTAAAAGATACAAAGTAGATGAAGTGATATAGATTAAATGAAATGATACATATTTTTGAGTCATTTTATAGTGAAATGACAGTCTGCAGAAGTGACTTGGCAGTCCATGAAACAAATATAATAATAAAAATAAATAAAACACATATTTTGTATTAAACAAAATTACTAAAAACAGGTATTTCATATTAATATATACAAATTTCCTAAAATCAAGTTATATAGTATCCTAAATAATATTTGTCATCCTATTTCTGTAGAGAAATCTGACATCTCTACGTGGCTTATCAATCTTCACCGGTACCCCCGAAACAATCATTTCCATAAACATGCATATGAATACTCCACAATCCCTTTTATCTTCAATATATTCCTACTGTGGTGCGTCTATATTATCAACAAACTCCATAGTTGCATGGGCTTTGTGTCCATCGGGGAAATCGTTCCAGTACTCAATCACATCTAGCTCTGAGATAATACTATCCCCAAAACTTCTGAGTTCTCCACCAATCAAGTACTTTGAGAAGAAATTCATAGATCGTGCTGAATCATAAATGTGTACTTTCCCGGTATTTAAATGTAGCACTGCCAAAAACCAATGGACACCAACAACGTTTGTGGGGAATAGAACCTGCAAACAAAAAAACATTAAATAGTCGTAAATTCAGTAATATTATATATATAAATAAATAATCATTAAACTTAACTAACCATATCCACATCCTTCCATTTAGGATAGCCTCCAACACCATTTGCTACATTCCTATAAAAATAATTTTCCGGGTTGCAAATTGAGTTCTTGAGGGTATATTGTCCACCTTGTGTTCGCCGACCGTCTTAAGATAAAAATGTTGTACATTTTAAGATAAAAATGTTACAATTATTTATATAAATTATCGTCTAAAAAAATAGTTAAAATTTAACGAATGTTACCGAAGAAATTAACCACCCAGAGTCAATAACTACAAGTAACCTTGACCAAAACTCCACATCCAGTGGGAGTATATGCAGCCTGTGTGTAGTGTTGAGGTTGGAAGATATCATATTCCATTCTTTCCAAAAACCCAACGTACTAGCAGCATAAAGACTGTCTAACATGAGATGATTTGAAACAACATTACTCTGTTCATTCACAATGTCTTCATTTGCTTTTTCAGGACTCTCCACTCCTTTTTTTCCTTGGTTTGATGATTTTCTTCAATTTTGGTGTAGATTGCATCTAAAAAATTAAAATGTTAAATAATTATCAATAATGTAATATTTTATAAATACACCAAAATCAAAATATGAGTTTTGTACCACTGTGAATGGCATCCGTCGATACCATGCAACACCTCTCTTTCGTTGCGGCCTAACAATAGGAGTCACTGTTTTTTGTGATGTTCACCTACGTCCGGTGACGGCTCAACATGCGTAGGTGCACACCCAACTTCCCCCTCCAAACCATGAGTATATGTATCATCATACTCCAATTGTATACCATGATAATATGTTTCTTCCTCCTCTTCATTTACCATGTCCTCCTCCTCTCCAAACCTTGTATCTGGTTCATCTTTTTTTTGTAATACACGGTCTACTTTAGAAGTTAATTTAGCCACAACGCCTATTAGACGCTTCACCAATGCCTTTGTGATCGTCTTCTTCTTCTTTACCGACCTTGTTGATGTTTCGCTTGACATATAAGTTCTTTCTACTTTAGGCCGTTGCGAGGAAGAATCATTTGTGGCAGTTTCAGTTGAAGATGTTTCCGACTTGTACTTCTTTTTTCGAGGAAGCGAGCCAACAATAGGTGGACTATGTTGCCGTGGGGGAGACTCTTCATGGTTAAGAGTCCAATTGATGTAGCGAATATAAAACGACAACATGAGCTCCGTAGTGTTTTCCACGACAACAATAGGATGGTTGTTAGGCTGCAAAAATCATATTGTTAGTTTAACATGAAAAAACATTGGAATTTGTAATTATATATAATTATAATATAAAAAGCATACCACAGACACGTTGATTATTCGACGAAATTGAACCCAAGATAAAGGTGTTTTACTTCTCCACGACCTCATTCGTGGCATTTTGTCGGCGTGCATATATAATACTGGGCTGCCTTTGGGAACGTCTCCAACATCCATATCTATGGAAAAAAGGTAAGTATGATGCTATTATAGTATAAAAATGAAAGTACAACAATATTATATAGTACAAACCGAAGTAGAATGTTATTATCGTATAAAAAACGAAAGTATGATTACTATTTAAATGCATTAGAAACTAACCTTAAACGGAAGCATAAAACCGGCAACGGTAGACTTATGTACTTTCTTAGATTCGGGATTGGCCTGCTTGAATATTCTAAAATTTTCTATTTTCTCAAACATTCCACGCATCAACCCCGAATTATAGGTCAAAAAATATGTACCCCATGCAAACCTTCAATTTTCAATTTATTTATTTTAATTATTATTGTATTTATACACAATTTTTAAATGTAATACCTGTTCCAATCATCTATATTATCAGCAAGCTTGTATACTGCCGCGGGAATGCCCGTTTTAACGTCCCGTCTGTGACAATCCGAAATTTCTATCTTGAATAGTTATCCAATTCAATCAAGGTTGGACTCGTTTTGCTATCTTCTAGCATTGCTTAGAGTCAATTAGAGCGTTTTAAGCCTAGTACATCCAAGAAATGAGTGTTAGGAAATATTTGCTTGAGTCCAGTGTGCACCAAGAAAGCCATAAACTTCATCATGTGGAGTTTATGGCCACATCCCATGAGTTTACGACCGTAAACTCATGGTGGCCGTAAACTCATGCCATAAACATGATATTCCATCCTTATTCCTCATTATTCACCATTTCAACCTCAAGAACTTGATTTCTCTCTCAAGTATCATAAGGATCTTCATTTTTATCTTCAAAAATGTAAGTATTTCATCCTTTGTTTAGTTGATACATCTCATTATCTAGTATCACCCTTTGATTCCATCCATTAACTTCATCTTTTGGGTTTAATCTTCAAGATCGATAACAACACCAAGAACACACACTAGTGTTTTGGGCCGAAATCAACCCTATTTGCTTCCATATCTTAAGTATCTCTTCCCTATACTTGTTATCTAGTAGAAGCCCTTGATTTTCATCCTTGAAATCAACCAAATCCCATGAACAAAGAGAGTTTACGGCCAGGAGCATCTCCCTTGGCCGTAAACCTTTGTTAAGGCTTCTAGTTGGACATAAACTCTTCTTTAAGGCTTGGATTGGAGCTAGAACACTCCTTGATGCTTGTTAAGACCTTAAAACACCTCTTTGGCACAAGACTTCATGAGTTTACGGTCGTAAACTCATAGGGACGTAAACCCTATGGCCGTAAACTCAAGGGCCGTGAACACCTTGGCCATAAACACCATAGTGTGGCCATACACCCCTTAGATGCAACCCTTTGTCCTTCTAACACTTCAATCTAAGTGTTTACTAAGTCCTAGGGTGTTTTCCTTACATGATTAGTTGTATAAACACTAATTATATACATATATGTGTCATTATATGCTTATTAGGATCCGTTGTGCTCGAGTCTTCACTTGACACTTAACATCCTACAATCGATCTTACATTCGTATCACTCACTACAGGTGAGTTCATACCCCTTAACTTATCTTTTAAATGATTTTTAAATGCTTTTATGGGGAGGGGGGAATACAAGTAGAAATATTGTAGTTATTATATCAATCACGTGTGATTAATAACTATCAAACAAATGGATTTATTACATTCCAAACTGTGTTATCAAACAAACTGCTTCAAATCGTTTTATAAAATCTTTTACATGTTAAATACTTTCTATCAAACTCTTTTAAAACTTATACTTTGTCAAAATCATGTATATAAAGATATAGTTATATAAGTAGGATTGAAAGGACTTAGGACTGATAACTCGCCTTACTTCCTGTTCCTGTTTGGTTGTGGACTTAGGGTATCGGTTATTTGTCCGAAGGTCGTTTTAACCTTAGTTATATATTATGTGTATGTATATAGATATAAAAGTTCTTCTATTAGTTCAATACCTTTGGGTAGCAAAGGTGTACAAACACGTTCATTCATACAAACAACATATCTAGTAAACTATAATAGGTATAGTTTAGGAAGTCACTAATACTATTACTAGAACAATGAAACACACCAAGAGTCAGTTCATACGTGAGTCAGTACATACTATAACGAGAGACAATACTCGCTATAAAGAGAAACATATAGAGAATACTATAACGAGAGACAATACTCACTATAAAGAGAAACAGATAGAGAATACTATAACGAGAGACAATACTCACTATAAAGAGAAACAGATAGAGAATACTATAACGAGAGACAATACTCACTATAAAGAGAAACAGTTCATACTATAACGAGAAACAATACATACTACACACTATACACTAGAAAACATACTACATACTAGACAGAGAGAACATACACTACACTAGTACATACTATACAAATACAAGAATACTATAACATTAATGTGAGATACTACTTCATGGCTCGGCAAGATACTGCTGCATCACGTTTTGTACCCAGAGTCTCCTGGATGGAGAGCGTGAATTTGTGTATAGATCTATACGGGACTGACCCTCCTACACCTTGCTGCTAGCTACAGTGGGACCTGCAGGTCTACGGGTGACGAATGTCATATCACTTCGACGTCTCGAACGTCGTGTTATACTAGTCGATCAAGTATGGTTACAATCATATCACATTTTACCTTAATTAACTAACAAGTTTAAAGGTAGTTGGTACATTAGTAGTTATCTACATAAAACTACAGTACATCTTTATTTTCCTAATTCATTCACATTGTGATCTTCTCACATAAACGGTAATGAGAAACTATATTTTGATAATGATAGTCATACTTTGGGAAAACTTACACTTTTACAAAAGAACAAACATAGAGAACAGTTTAGTCTTGGTAGAAGACTACTTTAGTAGAAAATATAGGATTTTCTAGGAAGTTTACTTACATTTACAACAAACACTTACAAACTTTTACATCAAACATTTACAAGTACATTCTTCAAACTTATACAAACAATAACACTAAAATACTTATGAACTCACCAGCTTTAATGGTGATCTACGCTTTCAAAATAACTTGTATTCTCAGGTCACCAGTAGACAGGTACCGATGACCAGGTTTTGAGAAGATGGAGCACGTTCAAGACTCATCTCTTATTTTGATTCATATTTTTGGTGTCTTATAAACTATACAGAACACACTTGTATTACAATTATACTATTAATGCAATGGATGATGTTGTTGCTTGTTTACTATTATGCATTGTTGTGATACTGTACATGACGTCCTCCGCCCCCGAACGTTTCCGCCGTTCCAGTTTTGGGGTGTGACACTGTCCGTGGAGACCTTTCAACATAAAACCAAGTTGGATAAGCATTACAACATCTTCATCAAGAAGTGACAAATAATTCGGAGACATAATGTAGTCTTCTAAATCTTTCAGCCGCAAACGTGCATCTGTAATGTCTGGGAACAACCAAGCACGAATATTTGAATTTGACTGGCCTCTTTCGTCATTGAGTAAATCCACATAAGGACCAACTCTTAAACCACAAATCAAAATATATTCAGTTTCACTAAAATCCAACTGCATCCCTGTATCTCAAAAAGAAACCTCCCCATTTCAAACACTTCTTGAGACCTTATTTCATGCAACATCATCAAATGCACAAGTAAGAGGTCACCATGGGGGACATGCATTCCTAAGAATCTTCCAAACGGCGAAGCTTCAAATAATACTCGTTGCGATTGTGTTAGGCGCGAAAAATAGTCTTTAATGATCGTACCGACCACGCCTTTTAAAGTTAAATCTGCATTTTGATTGAGATCATCGTGCTACCAAACATATACATTTAATTTAATATAAAACGTTAGTAATTAAAAATAAAAAACAAGGTTTTAAAATTACTTTTTTAATTCAGTTTATGAAATAAATAGCTACGTACTTTTTATATAATAAACAGTTGATATAAAATGGTAGAAAAAGGGGAAAAAAGCCTTCTAAGGTCATTCCGCGGAGACCCTTCTGCGGAGTGACCAACACCTCCTCGGAGACAATTTTTTTTCCCTTTTTGATTCATTCCGCAGGGACAATACGTCAATCCGTGGAGGTCCCTCTGCGAAGTGACCTACCCCTCTGCGGAATGGATATTCCAAAATTCAAAACCAGTTAATCCTAAAATCTAAATCTGTACATATTTAAGGTTATCAATTGGATTTTCATAACATTTCAATCTTAATCTATACAATACGACATTAATCAAAGAGGGGAAGGTGAAAAATACCCAAGAGCCGTATCCATCGGCAAATATATTGGGGAAATTGCGCTCCATTGGTGCCGGATTTTACTGGTTCAAATCGTTGTCACCGGAAAATAACGTCTTTGAAGTCGTTGTCGCCTGGTTTGAACTCCTCGCCGGAAAATCGGAATAGCCTTCCGATGCGGAGACAGTAACGGGATTTCAAAGTGGAAGAGGAATCGGGGGACCAGTTGGGGACCAAAGAGGAGACCCATTTTTGTCAAAGAGGAGACCCATTTTTGTCAAAGAGGAGAGAGGGGAAATTACGAAAATATCCCCTCTCAGCAGAGAATTCGTCGTTCCGCGTAGCCCCGTAGAGCTTTCTCCGCGGAATACGTGTCTATAACCAGAAAAATGTGTTTTGATGACTAAATTTTGAAACACCTAGAAAAAAAAATTTGACCATAGCCGTATTTTCCCCTTTACTCAATTTCCCTGTATTTTTTGTGACGGCTAATATAAAACGTGGATTATTCCATCCTCTGGACTCCGGAGATAAAACCAACGATGAATCAGGGCTTAGTTCGGATACTCCGCCCCACACGCAACATATCCTGCGCTTTCACGAACCTTCCGGTGCGGAATCATATCCGATGGATCAACACATACTCTACGATGAAGTTTTAGTAAACGGCAGCAAAACAGCACTCACTTTGTCCGCCGATGGGATACTCCAGTGGTACGATCACCAGAATGTTCTTCAATGCCTCTCCGTCGAGAAAGAAGTTCTCGGAGTGTCAATAGTTGGGCAACAGATCATAATTAGGTCATTCGTTGAGACCGAAGGTGGCGGATTTTGCTTTGGAAGTAGCACAAGGAATTTGGTGAGGAAGAGCTTCGTCTTCGAGCCTTTGTCGGAGGATTCGCGACTGAATTTGTGCGAGAAGATTCAAGGATACGTTGACTCATTAGGTAGTTCATCAACTTCCCCCAATTAAATATGCCTGAATTCATGTATGCGCATTTATAACGTGTGAAAATGTGGCTTAGTGACATAAATGTGCTTGAAAATCTCGTAAACCTGAAACTTTTTGGTACAAATCTATCGAATTATCGTTCAATAGATGAATGTAACTGTAGTAGCGAAAAGCTTTAGAAGCAGACAAATTTTTTTGGTTGCTGAGTTGATGTTGAAGTTAAACATCTCTGCTATATGTTATAAATCCATCAAATTTTGTTCAAGTACATAAACAGTTTACTTATTTCTTCATATCTCTTAAAATGGTTGTCTGTTGTCATGACAGGTCGACCAAAGAAGCTGTTTGTATTTGTTAACCCTTTTGGAGGAAGGAGATCTGCTTCCAAGGTTTTCACTGATGATGTAAAACCTATACTCGATGATGCTAATATCGAATATACTTTACAAGGTTTGTTTCATACTTTCACTTGCATCTCTTAATCATCATGCATTGCACATTTTATTTATTGTAGTCTAATCATGCTCATTAGGGTTGTTTTTAATCTCAGAAACTAAATATCAGCTTCATGCGAAGGAAGTTTCTCATACATTGGATCTTACAAAGTATGATGGTATTATTTGTGTTAGTGGAGATGGGATATTGGTTGAGGTTGGTTTGTTATGCATATCTTCCATAAGAAACAAAAAAAACCTTGAATAGCAATTTAACCTCTTTGCCTTTCTTCCATGGGTTGGAAATTCTAGTAGGTTGTTAATGGATTGCTTGAAAGAGAAGACTGGGAAGCAGCACTAAAGATGGCTATTGGAGTTATACCTGCAGGTATGTTCATGTTTCCCTCCCCTTTGCTATCAATATATATTTTATTCAATTCCTTCAGGAATGAACCATTCCATTCTTTTTTCTGATTCCATCATCTCAAACACTATCTAATACTTGACATGAACATATATCATATATGATAAAGGTACTGGAAATGGCATGATAAAATCTCTTCTAGATTCTGTTGGTCAACCATGTACAGCTGCTTTTGCTATGCTAGCTACAATCCGAGGTATAGTTTTTCTTTTTGATCATTTCTTTTGCATTCCCTATTTTTTTTTTCATACAAATCATGTAACTTAATTTAAGTTTTTAAATTGCATGTTCCATTTTTTGCAGGGCATAAACGATCTCTTGATGTAGCCACTATTTGGCAAGGGGAGACAAAGTTTTTTAGTGTCTTGATGCTTGCATGGGGTAATATACTACTCAAGTATTTTAACTTTTAAACGTTCATTTTGGTTCTAAGGGCGTTTTTGGAATTCTGTTTCGTTCCATTCTGGTTGCAAATAACTACGGAATTGAATTTATTGGAATTCATAACATCTTATTACCAGTGATGGGATTCAATTTCGCTCCCCCTTCATTTGTATAAATAACTGAAGTACTCTTTCTAAATTCCATTTGTATGTTGATTTCTTGTTTTTACTACTATTAACTTTTTTTGATTTACTGTTTAACCTTTGTTTTATAATTTGTTTTCATGTGTATATTTACTGATATGTATGATTTATGTTTTACTTGATAATAGTTTTAAAAAGGTTAATAGAAGATAATTTAGTAGTTTTTAAAAGTATTTGAAAAAGTTTTGTGAACAAAAAAACAATAAAGGGTAATTCTATTAGAAAGGAATTGAATATCAAGGAATTAAAATCAGGAATGTTGTTATTATTATTTTTAAATAGTTGCTGATAAACGCTTATTTTTTCTTCTTTTTAAAATTTAAAGGTCTGATAGCAGATGTAGATATCGAGTCTGAGCAGTATCGATGGATGGGAAGTGCTCGAATGGATTTCTATGTAAGTTCAACAGCTTTTATTTTTGCATTTGATAATTTATACTAAGGTTATGTTTGACGTATTAGCTGAAAAACTAGCTGATAGCTGAAAAGCTAGCTGATAAAAAATGTCGTTTGGTAAAACTGGCTGAAAAGCTAGTTGAAAAATATAAAAAATGACATAAAAGGACATTTAAAAAATTGTGTTTCTATAATTAATTAAGGGGTATATTTGGAAAATTTTAGACAAGCTCCTAAAAAGCTAGTCTAAGTAGCTTTTTAAAAAGCTAGCATATAAGCTACTTTTTGGCTTGCCAAACATGACAAAATAAAAAAGCTCGAAAAATAAGCTAGCTGTGGCGCACCAAACACAACCTAAAAGACTGTTTGATAGTTGCTGACTGAGTCAGACCCAGCCTCTTGTCAACCCCAGTAAGAGGCCTATATATATATCAGTAAGAGGCCTATATATATATCAGAGGCTTCTAATAGTGGTATCAAACAGTCTGTAAGAGGCATATGAAACAACCAAGCCCTAAAGTCAACCTGAATTGATGATTTTTGCAAAAACTTACTTGTTCAGGGTCTTCAAAGGATTATAAGATTAAGAAAATACAACGGGTGTATTTCATTTGTGCCAGCTCCTGGATTTGAAGATGTAGGAGAGGCAAGCAGTTTGGGTGTTGAGTCCATGTCCATGGAACCTCCTATCACCCAACAACATGGTTACCATGGCCCTAAGGTTGATTTAGGGAATTCAATCTGGAGAAAGGTTAATGGTCCTTTTATTTCCATTTGGCTTCACAATGTTCCTTGGGGTGCTGAAAACACCATGGCTGCACCCAATGCCAAGGTTCCTATTCTCTTCTTCATACTTTCTTTTCTTCTTATTACAGTATATTGTATATTGTAAAAGTTGCTATTTCTTACATTTAATTTATAACCATATTTTGCTTATTCCTTTTCTTGTTTTGATGTGTAGTTTGATGATGGTTATCTAGACTTGATTGTAATGCGTGATTGCCCAAAATTAGCCTTGATATCCTTAATGTCTGAAATGAGTAATGGCCATTACGTAAAATCACCACACGTTTTGTATATCAAGGTGAGTATGAATATAGATATATTTAATTTTGTAATATGAAAAAAAAAAAATGAATAGAAGTACATTGCTATTTATTGCATTTGACACTGGAATCTTCCATTACTTGATTTGACTTTTATGGTGGAAAGGTGAAGGCGGTTGTGTTGGAGCCTGGTTCGAGGACAAGTGATTCAACAAAGGAGGGAATCCTTGATTCCGATGGTGAGGTTTTGGCAAGAGGTAAGGGAACATACAAGTGTCACTTAAAGTCTTTAATGGTTTATGACAAGTTGCAAATAGTTGTGGATCAAGGTTTGGCCACATTGTTTACGCCTATTTGAATCTGTATTATTAATATTATTATTTGTTTTTCTCACATATTGTTTTATTAATACATTTGATGATTTTTTATTTTTAAAATGCAAAAAGAAAAATTACAATATAGTTTTTTTGAAATCCGGGTATTCTGTTGAACTAAATTGAAGAAAAGACAAAACATTTGATTCTGATTCTGAAACTTGAATTCCATTCCATCAAACAACATATTGTTGAAACTTGCACCCTTTTCTAGGGTTATTTTTGATGATGGTGACATTCTCTTCTTTTGCATACGGGAGATATCAAGAGCGAGTCGTTAATCCAACTTTTTGGACAAATATTAGCAATTTGTCTTATTGAAATTAGCCTCACTTTAATGCATGTCAAATACAGTACAAGATTGTTGTCTTGTATGTTCTGATCCGATTTGGCAAGTTCACTCTAATGCATGTTATGGGTTAGTTTAACCCATAAATAGTATTTTAAATAAATAAATAATTAATTATTTATCTGTATGCAACAGCATTACATTAGTCTGTAAACAGGGTAAGGGAAAGGTAAGATGGTCGACAGCTCTAACGTAGGGTTGAGATACTGCCTCCGTAAGAGACTTCTAACAAAAAAATAAAATAAAAATGCAAATACAAATACAAATACAAATAAATATATAGAAGAATTTTTTTTTTCATAATCTTGTTAGAAATGATGTATCAGAATAGAAAATGTCAGTTCGGTTCGTGATGGGATTATAAAATGGTGTATGACCAAATGAAGACACCGACAAATGAAAAAGAAAATATGCATTTTTGGGGCATGTGTAGCCAAGTAAAATATAATAAATAAGCAAGTAGTGGAAACACATATAAGAAAGTGAGTGAAAGAAGATACTAGATTTGCTTAGGAGCAAATAGGAAAATAAAATTATGCCAATACTACTTCGCCGCTTTGATTTTATGCCTCGATACTTTCTTATATGAGGTTGATTTTATGCCTCAATACTTTCTTATATTTCTTATATGAGGTCATGTCAGTAAGGCCTATCTTTCCACTTCCTTCTTGACTGCCTTCTCGACACCATCAACTGTCATTCTTCTCCTCGACACCATCAACTGTCATTATCTCTAGCCTCCTAACAGCAACAATAGTTAGTCTCCTATGGACATAATCAAACCACCACAATCTTCCTTTCCTTATTTTGTCTATGATCTGCGCCACCCCATTTGAGTTTCTTATAGACGAGTTAATATCATGTCCAATAATGTTCTACCACATGTCTACCACAACATTCTCATTTCTACAACCATCTTCCTCTCATGTCTCTTCTTAACCGACCAACATTTAGATCTCTTCAACAACGTTGACCTTATCACCATCTTATAAAATTTTCCCTTTAGTTTATTGACACTTTCTTGTCACACAAAACTCTTGTTGCTACCCTCCATTTTAACACCATCCTGCTTTTTATACGGTATGTAATGTCTTCCTCAACATTACATTCCTTATAGATCATAGAACCTATGTATTTGAAGCACTTATTTGGGTGTAAAACATGTACATCGACACATACTTCTATTTCTTTACCACTTTGATTCCTATTGAAATTGCAGTATTCCGTCTTAACAATGCTGATACATGGCTTTTTTTTTTTTTTTTTTTTTTTTCAAAGATGACTTCCATGTAGCCAACCTAGTCTTCAAATTTGTTCAAGACTTGGCCACTAAAACTATGTCGTCAGTAAAAAGCATACACCATGGTATCTCTTCGCGAGTCTCGCAATAGATTTTTGTCTATAATCAAGGCAAAGATGTAGGGACTAATAGAGTTGAGCCCTGATGAAGTCTGATTTCAATAGGGAAAGCCTCTGTGTCCCCGATTGTAGTTCGAAGGCAGATTGTAGACCGATAATATATATCGCGTATCACCGAGACATAACTCAATGGGACCCATCTGAGCTTCCAAGGTCTTCCAAATCATCTCATGCAAGACAATATCATATGCATTCTCAAGGTTAATGAACACTATGTATAGATCCTTATTTTTTTCTCTCGATATTTCTCTATAAGACGTCGAAGTAGGTTAAGCGCCTCAGTAGTAGACCTCCTCGACATGAAGCAAAATTGATTTTTCGATATCATAGTTTCTTGTCCTAACCTAGCCTCTAACACATTCTCCCATAACTTCATGGTACGACTAAGAAATTTAATATGATATCATAGTTTCCTATGTTTACGGGTTTTAATCTATGTTGCAATACACAATCCTCATCTGGAAACACACTGCAGTCGATGCATGCCCATTATTCTCGTTTACGAACCAGTATATAGTTGATTTGGATGCGATTCCCACTTCCACTTTGAAAAGTAATTAGATGCACATCCCCTTTTTTAAAGTACTATATTGTGTGCAACTTCAAACCCAAGCAACGTACCCCCCTCTTTATTCCTACTACCATAACCGAAAGCACCATGCACTCCCTAATATCCATTGATTTCCCTTCCTATATGACCATTGGAGTCTCCCCATACAGTTAGTCGTTGGTCCTCCCACATGATTATAAGTAAATTATCTAATGATTCCCAAAAACTATGCTTTTGTGAATCCTTTAACCCGACGTATGGGCGTAAACACGTAAGACATTCACCACTTCCTCTTCTACTATAACCTTTTTTTGATCATCATGATCCTATCTCGACATATACAAGCTTCAACTACGTTGTCTTTGAGCTCTAAACACACCAAGATACCCACCCAATTCTCGCATTCTTGATGTCGGAATACCACAACTTATACCCATTACACTCTCTAGCTTGTGCCCCCTTCCATTTAGTCTCTTGAATACAGGCAATACATGAGGGATGAAAAATGTTTACATGATTGATACATACGTTCACAGAAAAACGATACATATAATCTTTCTTATACAAGAAACTATATTTGATTTTTTAACAAAGGTACTCATGTATTACGTAATGGGTAATAGATATATGAATTGTTAACTGGTGGAAGTCTACTAAATGAAATTGGGAATTTTGACACTAAAAGGGTGGTAATTGTAGCATGGATAATGATTATATTGAGCAATGATCCAAAAAATTAATTAAATATGGATTATATTAAGCAATGACCCAAACAATTAATTAAAACTTTAAGATGTATATTTAGGTGGTGTTTGTTTTTCTGCAAAAGCTCTTCTTGACCTCTTATGTCTGCGCCGTGCAGACAGTGTGCCGACGTTTGATCTCGCATACAGTTTTTTAGAAGACCGCAGACCTAAAAAAAGGTCTGTGCGTCCTCCTCTTGGCGCAAATATGAACCGTCTTCTAACATCTTCTAGCATTTTCTTACCTCTTCCACAATGTATATATAACTTTTAAAAAAAGAAAATATTTTTTTTGGTAATTATTAGTATCGTTTTTTATTTTTTATATTTTTGTCCTCCTCCTTTCTTTTTATATAATTATTTGTTTCTTTATTTATTGTTTTTTTTATATCAACCCAAATGTTTATGTATATGATTATGTACATATTTTTCTATTCAGATAATATATTTATCCAAATAATTTTGACATATTTTTGTAGATATTTTTATTTTTGTGCACGTTTATATTTAGTAGGCAAATCTAGTAACTTTTTTTTATATTATTTAGGATAGAAACAATATCATCCATTAATTAGTTCATATATATAATATCAAAAATCTTAATGAAGCTTTTCAGTTATCATAATTTATGCCACGTTAATAACTAAGTTCATTTAATTTTTTGATTATTGAATCCCAACATAATTTTAGCCCTTCGAATCTCAATCACATCGTCGAATTTTGTATCAGTTTCAGTTTATTATTTTCGGTTTGTTGCGTTTTTATCAGGGTTTTTTATCGGTTCGGGTTTTGCTCATCCCTTACTATATTTGTGAATTAGTTGTATGCTTTATTCAGTTGCTTAAGTTATAGTTGATGAAAATTTTAGTTTGTCTGCAGACGTTAAAAAACAAACAGTTTTCTTTTTGCAGACTGCTGACATTTGGTTCATCTCTTCTACTGCAGAAGTTTGCAGACGTGGTTCGCAGACTGCATATATTTTGTCTTTGAAAAAACAAACAACACCTTAGTCTTGGTAATTAGTAATTTGATATCAATTGACCGAGGGATGGCCAATTGGGCCTAATGGAAGTCTAACATTCTTAATAACTAAGTTTAATGGAATCTTAATTTGTTTTAATGAGATTAAAAATTAAAGACATATTATTAGTATTTGTAAATAATGTTGGGTAAATTACACGAATGGTCTCTGTGATTTGGGGTAATCTGCGTAGTTGGTCCTTAAGAAGAATTTTTAACTCGGACGGTCCCTATTGTTTTATTTTGTTGCGTGTTTGGTCCCTACCACTCTTAAAAAGACTGTTTTACCCTTATTGTTATTTTTTATATTTTAAATTCATTTTAATAATTATTTCTTATTTTCACTATTTATATTATTATTATTATTGAAAAACATAATTATCTTACCTTCTCCTCTAATCCAACCCACCCCTCACTCCTCCCCCCCGTTCACCATCTTCTTCCGGTAATCCTCCTCCCAACCACCATCAACCTCTTTTACTTCTTCAGCAAGGCTGTTGTAAAACCTCCACCAGAAAAATGTTGAAGAAACCAGGAATAGAAACCGAAAAATCTGAAGCAACGTGGAAATTAAACCGGAAGAAAATCGTCGGAGAAATCAGATCGGGAAAAGCTTACAGAAACCAGATCGCCGGAAAAGGTGGAGGAAGCCGGAGAAACCAGAGAATCCGACGGGTTGTCCTTCTATTTAACCCCACCCCCCGTCGCTCAGCCCACCCATTTATCCCTTAATGTCGACACCTTATATCAAAAACCCTAACATCCTTCTCCTCCGATTGAAACTGGTGATTCATAAGGTGAAGGCACCGTTGAAACCCTCGATTGAAATCGTCGGTGTTTGAAGTGAACTAGAACCACCCCAGTCATTGGCATTTGTATTAGAAACCATGTGAATCCGAGCTTACTGTGATTTTTACACCTGTTTGAAAATCGTTTCAGCA